TACAACAACTCGAGGACATTTCTACAGGAAATTGAATAGTGTTGACTCCAAGTGTGTTCTTCTCATAATTTTCCTTTTGTTATATAATACCCATTACCCAGTGAACTCCAATTCTTCAAAGTTCAAACCCTTCATTCAGTAATTCAGTTCAGGCTTCACTCTTCACTGAATTTGGCTTTGCCTTCGCACGCAGCTTCGGACCTTCAGTTGGATCTTCACTTCTCCTTTCCCCTGCTCTGCTGCCGACAATTTACGAACTACCCAGGCCCGCTGGTTGCTGTGCTACTGCTGTTTCCGATGAGCCTCCAGTGAATTCAACTCTTGTGTTGGCTGCAAAGAGGACATACAGAAAAGATCCTCTAAATAATTTCGAGAAATATAGAGGAGGCTGGAATATTAGTGAACGCCATTACTGGGCTGTAAGTTCTTCAAAGATTTCATCTTTTATTTGTAAAATATAAAATCTGAAGTTAATTTTGAATTTTTGAGTAAATTCCAGGAGAAAGAAAGAATCTCTGGGATTATTTTAGGACTAATTCAGCTTATGCTTATTCCGATTGCCGATGCTCTTAAAAACAGAATATTGTTTGTATGTACATACAATTATTTTAGGATGTTTGGGCAGATCTTGGTCAGGAATCATGTGGAAGTCATCAAGGATCATTATATTTTCTGTCTTTCGTCGTGACTTAATTATATTATTTTTTTTCTTAACTTTTATCTTTACAAGGTCTATCATATAAACAATATAGATGCTTTATAAAATACTATGCAATCTTAGCTTTTATGCTTTATAATATCTTAATGAAATCTAAATTAGCAATTAAAATAATTTTTATAAGGTACCCACGTTACATTATTTCAGTTTGCTTCAAATTTGGGGTGAAATTCTGCTAGAAGTCTTGATATTTTGAAATAAAATATTGAGTAAGGCCTATTCACAATACTGTTGACTGAAAATATAGAGATATGTTCTAGCAATTTTTGAAATTTTGAAGAATTTGATTTTATCTCTCTTTGTTTTATTACTTGTATAATTTTTTTTCCAACTAATTATATTGATTAATAGATCTACCTTTGACTTCCACATTTTTTTCGTTGTCTTTTCCACTTTAAATTTAGTTTAGTTTATATTTTGGTGGTGTCATTTTACAGAACATTTGGACCCCAACAACGACAAAATTGCTGAATTGAGGGAGGCATTGGAGTCTCTTACAGCTGAGCACAGGTACTTTAAAGCACGTGATAGTCGTCATCGTCACAGTAAGGCCTCCTTTCATTTTAAGTAAAGTGTTGCCTGTGCTGATATGGTGCAATATGCAATTTTCCATCATAATATTTGGTTTATTTATGTCTTTGACTATGTTGTGTGTGCTTATGTCTGATGTTTTGTCACATGCTTTATGGTTGTAGAAGTTTGGAAGTTCTTAATGCTTGATATTTGATGTTTGTCTAAGATACTATAGTTGAATATCAAATTCACCCGGCCTCAAGCTTGAAATATTTGATTAAGGGAAATATTGAAAAGGATACTGACAACTATATGCATTAAAATACGCCATGCTTAAAGGTATATTTTAGTGATGACATTCTTAGTTAAGAGGAGTTCCTTAGAGGTGGGAAAACATACAAATGGTCAATGATCAACATTCGGTCCGCAAATGCTGAACTTTTGTGTTGGGTCCGTCCCTGCTTGGGATTCTTACAAATGAAGAAAACAAAATGCTTGTTTGAACTTCTTTACCACCAATCACAATCAATGCATGCTATTTTACAAATTTTTGAAGATTATCCTATTCGTGTATCTTATTGTCTTTAAAAGTAACTGTTATTTTTTGGCTAATTATTATCCTCTTTCTAGAGACTTGATAGACCCCACAGG